ATCTTCTGTTAAAAATAAAATGGCCCGCTAATTCAAGAAGGTGACTAATGTTTCAGTCTCTGCTGAATGGTATCAAAATAGACGTTCCTTAGAATTTAAGAGATTTTAATGTACCAAAAGTTAATAGTTTATTTGTTAAATACTAAAAATTCTTTGTAAATGTAGATGAACCATGTATAAAGTTCACAGTTGTTCTGTTCATTATATGATGAATGCTTTCAAACAACTGTGTAATTTTATTCAAAGTCTGCACCTGCAAATCATAAAAATTTTATTGATAACTTATGAAATACTATAGTAATATTTCGCATGAAATGTTTCAAGGGACCATAATAGAGTCTTTAAAGAAGCAGAAAGACAAAACCAGTTATAATGTCCGTTCAATAGGAAATGTCGTTAATCTACTTATCAGTAGACTTGCATGAAAACCTAAGTTCATACTGATTTCTAGTTAGACCGCTTCAGATAATTAACTTTCTGTAATGGTCCAGATAATTATAAAGGTGGATTATTCATTTCTTGGAAATAAACTCTTTGAACGATGATGGAATGGCCACAAGAAATGATATTTATAAAATTACGCTTCAGTTATTCATGCGCATCGTCATGAAAAGCACTTCCAACAAACTACAGATATTCATCAATAACTGCCTACTCTGGCTGGTTACTGAAGATCAGATGGCCAGAAAGAACAAGCAACAAGGCCATGTCAGGCCTGGCCATCGAGTGGAATCAATGCAGAGGGGAAACGACTAGTTGAGCTTTTTATCTGAGTGTGACATGGAGGAGATCAAGTGAGGAAGAAGTGAAAGCTTGTATCCAGTCGTGGTGCCAGGTCCAAAAGACTGCACAGAACAGAGTGGAATGGAGGCGTGCTATTGAATCCCTATGTTCCACTAGAAACCCAAAAGAAAAATCATAATAAATAATAATAATACGTCTGCATCCCAAATAATAAGATAGACTTCATCAATGATTCAGAAGTAAGTTAGTTTCATTAATAGTCGATAGATCAACACAATTTTTTTACTGTCTGATTAGTTTATCTTTTTAAAAAACAAAAAAATGATACTCATTTACAGTTAGTATTTTATTATCCATTATCCCTCACATTAATTGAGTTTGTACGAATTCCCTTCCAGTTATTTGCAATTTTACTGATAATTATGAATAATAGTAGTATAGTATAGTATATATTTTCTTGTTTTATTTAAGTCTAATCATTTCTAAACACATTCTACATGAAAATATTTTATGCAAATGTGTGCATACTCTTAGGCAGTGAAGCATACAACTATAAGAAGTTTACGTGATTATTCTTTAGATTCACTATTTTCAGGTTGACGGGTGTGAGAAAAGCGAAAATTTCTGCATTTCTTCAGTGTTTATCTTCTTGCTTGAATTTAGGTCAGATTATGGTCAAAAATTATGTATTTTACCATAATTAGCATAGGTAAATACTTCTAAAATATTGTTTGTTTGTTTAAAGCCCTCGTTAGTCATTTCGTATTCGGTAACTATATGCTTTTTTGTTTTGATGATACTTGTAATTTCGCGTTGCTACATCAGGTTGAATCACTTGACCTCTGTTGCTAGATGGGTCTCTATGGATAACCTTTTTGGATTTGGAGCAACGGGTATTGGGCTCTGAATCTCAATATCATTCACTGAGATGTAGGTGTAATCAACTGAAGAGTCTCAAATGGGATGAAATGAGCTTCCTGGACTCCACTGCTAGACACTAAACAGAACATGTGCTTTGCATTGTATACAGTAAAGATATCAGTGACTATTTCCTATGTTAATACCTTTCATGTTAAAAAAGTTTAAATTAATTCGTATTGATATAAATAAGTAAGAAGGAATTTGAAATCATGGATTATTGTCTTTTTATTTTACCTTCTTTATAAGCTGAACTTATAAAATTATGTGAAAATGACAATATTTCGAAGTACTTGAAGCTGTAAGAGAAATGAAAGAAGACATCTGAATACACTCATAGCACGAAACATTCTTCAGTGCAAAGGACTGCCTGAATTCTTACGGCTATTGCTGAAAGATGCGATGTTTGACATTATGTCCTATGTCTATCGGATGTTCAGCAATGGAACTTTTAAGGGACTTTGATTCCTTTAAGCTTGACTTGGAATGTGTTCACGAAATCTAGTCCCGGCTCTGCTCTCTGTCTTTCCAATTTAAGTGCTCTGATATGAGCGTGTGAATTAGTAGATGCAGTTTGAGGTGATGTCGAGTTTCAATTGTGATGATGAATGTATTGTTCTTCACAAACGAACCTAGTTCAGCTAGTGGAGAAGTGGTGTTTAGTGCAGTTCTTATTCTTCTGTTGACCTACTTCATCAAATCATCCCCCTTTAAAGTTATATGGAAGTACACAAGTTTCTTCTAAGGATTATCAAGTACACTTATTTCCTTTATTCTTTTCTGACTTTACCTATAAACCTCTTGGGGCAACTAATTTCTTTCAGACATCTCTTGATGAACTGAATTTCTTTAGTCAGCTTGTCTGATAAATCGGCGTTTTAACTAGTCCTTGCTTATAACTTATAGTACAAAAATGTTGAAATGAAGAAACTATCCACTTCATGTTTCCCTTCTATGAACAGATCTCTGACACGACCCATCTATTCTTCTTCAAAGTCCCAAGTCCAAAACATGAAATTCATTATTTGTCTTGTGTTCCATGATAAACTTACTGAATATTTTTCGTAATCGTTAGCGCATGATTCGTGTCATTGCGTAAAACAAACGCGACGACAATATACCTGTTATACATTGTAGTTTGACTGATAACTGTAGCTAATGTGGTTCTTCTCAAATCTGCCATAAATATATCTGCAAGGACAGGTGCGAAAGAACGTTTATTGGCACACCAGCTGTTTGGCAGTATAATTTGTTGTTGAATTAAAATTGCACATTCCTAGTGCACAATAGCCTTAACTTCTTAAGTTTCGTTTTGGACAAGTACATTTTACTTGAGTATTGACGGACAATGTCCTCTGTTTTGTCTAGTGGTATGTTGATATATCATGTTACCACCAATTTATCTTTGATACCAGTTACGTCTATCTTTTGCTCACACTCAGATATATCTTTCATAAATATGTTTCTATAGAACTGTAATGAATTCGGAATTAGATATATACAATTGAGGAACTTCAGATTATACAAATTATTCGTGAGATTTAAACTGATTTATTTTTTATTGTTGTAAGAGAAAATATTTGTTGAGAACAATCAAGTTTTACAATAGCCTCTCGTAGCTTGAAGGGCCAAAGGAGGTTTTCAACTTTGAAAATTATAGGCTCAGATCTGAATGTCACTAAGAGATTTGTTTCCCTTAATAAAAGGACTTTGGTGATGACTATCAGTTAGCGGAACTTAGAATGAACTTGATAAACCATTAAAAACCTGGGAGCAGTGGACAGCTGTTCTGTCTCAGCGTGGGAATTCTAAAAAGTATGCCTTGATATCTTCGCAAGGAATGTAACTAAATCCCTTCACGTCAGCCGGTGGACGCATTGGCGATTCAACCCTTGGGTCAAAGTCCAAAGGTTGAAAGTATTCTGTTTCTATCAATTCGTACTTCTGAGGAGTCTCATATTTAGAAGAAACAGCTGTCCAATGCTTCTGCTTTTTCATTGGTTATCCAAATGATATCAATCTGTGATGAATGCCACTGTAAAAGTAACTATACAAGTCCACTTCACTGAAATAGTAATTAGATTTCCTTTAAAATTGATACAAAAATTACATTTTCCATAAACCAAACACTTTTTTTAAAGGTATTCATAGAATTCTATGCAGTAAACAATCCTAAAATAATTGAGAAGTGTTGGTTAAATTAATGCTCAAGCGAAAAGTAGGAATCTACCTGAATCAAAATGAGAGGGATTCGTTTAAAAAATTTTATTTTGTAGACATTAAAATAACGCAGTTGATTTTTTATCTGATGTGTTTTTTAAAGAATTTTATTTCCAAAACTTGATATAGGCAAATAACTTTGAAATATAAATTCACTAATACCCGAAGACACTATGATTATTATTATGTGAATTTTGGGGAAAAATTTAGCTTTGAAATGATGTTAGTATTATCTTGTTTAAATTCTAGCCTAGAAGTGTGTAGTTAGAACTGTTATCAGAATATGCTCTGAATACTTACATTTGCTCACTGCTTAGAACGGAATGGAATTTTAGTTGACCTGGTTGTGGCTAGCACAGGAATGCAGAACGTGAGTTTCCGTTTATTTGAAGCTCGTCAGTTGGAGGTGTCTGAACCCCAGTGACTGATGTTGTTCCCATTGAGACTCGAAACTCATACCCATTGCTTCGGATATCAAAGCTTTATCCACTAGGCCACTGCCACACGACAGCCAACCCTTATACAAGTGGTATCAGTTATTATTATTTGTTGATACTTGTAATTATCCGTTGTTTTATTGGGTCGAATCGACCAACCATTACTAGAAAACGGACTTCTTTGCGCATACCTCAACATTGTGTAAATATCTATCATTATAAATGTCTTGGTTCCGGCTAGCAGTAGAATCCAGAACGCATATGTCTCTTCGTTTGAAACTCATGTTTTCGCCCCGTGTGAGACCTGTCAATCGAATACACCTATACACCAGTGAGTGACTTTGTTCCCACTGAAGCTCGGATTTTGTACCCATCGCCCCAAGCTCCAAAGTGTCTTTTATTCAGGTGTTACCCACGATCAAGTCAAGACAATACCAAGGCATCTGCTTAGAAGCCCATATACCAACAGCAGCCGATCAGTTCGATCCAGTATAAAAGAGGAGAGTTTCAGCTATCAGCAAATGAAAATAAAAATACCTTGAAGTGATTTCATTGACCTCCTGTAAAAAAACTGCCTGGTACCTCATGTAATTTGATTTTACATAACGTAGTTACTGCTAATCGATATCCACAATGTTTATGTTAAGACTTGAACTTTTCATGAATGCTGAAAACCATATTGAGTAATATTTGTTTAATTAGGAAATAAATTCATTCCAATAATCATTGAATAAAAAATCATAACAACTTCTAATATGAAGTAATTTTAGATGTTTCACAGTCGCATGATATTAAATGGAACAAGATTTGCATTCTTGAACACGATGAATGTTGTTACCCAAGAATGTTATGCTAAAGTCGGTTGACCCATGTAAGTGATTATCGTGTGGCATTAAAATATCATACGATTTTTAGGTGAATGTGACTGTATGGTCAAACTTATTGGCTAGGTGATTTGTTCCAGAATTGTATATTTGCATGATGTGCGTGAATCGCGTCTCCTTGATTCTTCTGCTAGCCACTATACGCCAGTAATCTCAAAATTGAAAATACTAGCAGCATTGATGGAATCATACAAGAGTCGAAATGCCAGTTGTTTCCTTACAGTTTGGTCCTATCAGCAACAGAGAAGTACTCACTAAAAAACCAACAAAACCGGATCCATATCTGCTTCAGGTCTTTTGTTGCACATTTTCTGAAAAACATATCTGTAAGAATGACAGACTATAGAAAGTAATTTTACAAATACTCTTTTCTTTGTAAAAGAGTGAAAGTGAAACTGGAATTGGCAAACCAAAAAACTTTAACTGTTTGATTTTTAGAGATTACTTTTGTAGTGGTGGTTACTAAAAAAATTGCATTTTTTTCAGTCTTATTTCACTTTTTCCAACTCATTTTCTTATTGCTTTCACAGAATGAATCACTGATAAATCTTTTCCAGCCATCATCATAGCTTTCCGTATGGCTTGCGAATTCCTTCAAGAAGCTGCATCCAATTTTATGACAGTTCATGAAATTTGGGCCCAAATAAGTCCACTAAACTATGAATTACTTCTCACTTACACTCTACGCATATTTAAAAATCTTGCATATGATTTTACTGGTGTATACCGATCATATGAACATTTTAACTCAGTTAAAACTTAAACTGAAGATTCAAATCATTATATAATCCTTATTCTTTCAATCAGCATCAAATTTCTTTATGGAAATTCTAAAAATTCAGCTATATACTAGTTATAAAGTTATCGAATTTATAATATGCACAGCATACTCAGTGTTGTGACAGAAACAAGTTGTATGTTGTTGAGGGTGACAAACAGAAAAGCGCACATTTGTTGGTGGTGGACTACTTAGTCATTATGAAATTTTACAGTTCTTGTTAGGCATCCCTGTAGTAGTTACATGATGAATAATTGAAAACTCAAGAGTGTGATGTCATCTACCGTGATATTTTTCCGGATTTTTGATGCAAAGAAGCATGATGATGAGTCTGAGATATTTTGAGGAGGCTCAAAATTACATTTTATGGAAAGTTGATAGTTGAGTAATTTAAAAAGTACACAAGGTGTAATTTGATGTTATATGATGAACACTATCTAGGCAGGCAGCATCGTTTCAAATACAGGCAGTGCCACACGCACAAATGAGGACATCAAAGACAGGATTGGAAAGACAGCAAGACAGGCAGGCCTCCATTAATTCGAAGTAATCATTGTGTTTTTTTCTACTCCACTGCACCTCACTGCACTGCACTGCAATGCTCTGCATTCAGCACAAAGCGTGAACAACATCCGGATTCTAAACACTAATTTCAGTCAAGTAAGTCAGTGCTTATATGTGATGGTTCAGAAACTTGACGCGTTACGAAAAGCACTTCCAACAAACTACACACATCATGCATCAACAGCTGCCACCCACACTCGCTCACTCGATACTGAAGATCAGATCAGGTGGCCAGAATAATCAGAGTTAGCAAGCAGGAACTCTGACTGACTGGCAACGAACCAACGAAGCAAGAACCCATTTCCCAACAAGTATGCAGAAGAAAGTGGAGATGGAGATGGAGATGGATTGAATTAGGCATAGACTGAGAATACCGATTGTGGACATCATGTGAGAGGTCAGGCCAGGCTAGGCCAGGCTAGGCTATGCCATGCCATGCCAGGCCGTCGATTGGAATCAGTTCAGAGGGGAGACGACTAGTTGAGCTTTTTATCTGAGTGTGACATGGAGGAGATCAAGTGAGGAAGAAGTGAAAGTTTGTGGGTAGTCGTGGATTAGGGTGTAAGAAGACTGGATAAATGAGAGTGAAATGTCGATGTAGAAGAAAAGCCCCATGTTTCACTAGGAACCCAAGGGACAAATAATATTGATAATAGATGATGAAAACTATTTAGTAGCCCAAATTTTAAGCAGGCTACCTTTTTTGCGTATGATATATATATATATATATATATACGGAGAGAAAGAAAGGGTCCCGACGCAGTCACGCTCGGATGGTTTATAACTTTAATGAATGTCTTGTAATTTTCCTCATTTCACTTTAAAAATCTACTTTTCAGTCATTTATAAACTGGTTATATGATATTGAATATACAAGCCATTCAAATTATGCTATGTATATACAGTGATTTTCAAATATTATCAAATCGGTGGAGGACATTATTTTTATCACACTTTCAGGTAAAGGATAAGAATTAGACATAACCAGGAAGCTATTTCAAAAATAAAGCAATCATATGATACTCTAGTTAAATTAATGATTGACTGCTAATAGTCATGTATGTTTCAAAAAGGTATGGAAAATCTTAATAAGCAGTTGTGAAACACGGACATTAAAGGTTGAAGATTCGCCAAGCAAGTGAAAATTTAACTACTGTTGGTTTTATCAAGCTTAAGGTCAACATAATGGTTAGACAGACGGTATTAAGGAGGAAGTTTTGGTTTAACGTATAAATACTATCACTGACGGTAACTTTGGCTTAAGTTTTGCCCATTAAGTCATCAGCTATCTAATCAACTTGGATGAGGTGGAGTGGGTTTTCATGGAAAATGTTTCATGCTACTGAAAAAAGTTTTTAAGACCAGTTACTGAAACTTTTGATTATTGTTCTCAGTTGTTTAAAGTAGATATCGACATATTTACTAAGTTTAATTGGGCAGTTATGGAAACTCTCAGTGATATGCCTGAATACTGACCACTTCACGTTGCATTTGCATCGAAATGCTAATTCTTCATGCTGGTTTTCTTTCCTCATTGTTTTTTGGAATTTCATGAATGAGAATATTATTATTTTCTCCTTTGATTGACTTCTATCTTATCATTATATAACCAGACTTTAGGGAATTTTGTTGGGTTTAGTGTTATTCAGATCTGTTCATATTCTTTATTTAACTTATGCCTAACCTTAACATAATTCTTGTGTGTTTCATCAATCTTTAGAAGATAATATTGTTTCAATGCTTCGAAAAATACCAGGCATTTCGTGTTCAGGAGGAAAGTAGAAAATATCACCAGATTCTCACCGAATGTTTGTAATAAATTATTGACAGGTAGATAGATACATATATTGTATAAAACATCAGCTTTAGGAGAATATGTGATGGAAAAGAATAATATTTCAGAAAGAGGATGATGGTAGCTTGTTGTTTTTTCCATTGTCTGTCTTTACTTACTTTGTAATGCCCAACTTCTCAGTTCATAACTCTTACGAAATTTCCATTCTTATTTGTTTCCATGACCATAAACTGCAACTACAACAACAATAGCTTTAATACAAGCAAGACTTGTCAAACAATATAAAATTCTCAGCATGAAATAATTCAACGAATTTATTCTCTGTTCAATATTCTAAAAGGAAATAATTATTGTATTTGAATAATGTTAGTAATAACAGTAGTAGAAGTCGCAGTATGAAACAGGTACCTATTCATACCATGTCGTCTGGTTTGAGCTGGTGAATGAACACAACCTCCAGCGTTATTTTGGTAGTCGTAGATAATTTAACCAGAACCAAAATCTGAAATCCGACATAGTTATTCAAGGAATAATGGTATGCACTATTTCTTTGCATTTACAAGGCCATCTCTTACCGGTATATCGTTTGTTCTTTGTTTTGTTGTTAGCTTAGAAAAACTGCAGTTTGAAACCATTTTAAAAGTCCACAAGAGCATTTAAAGCGTTTAAAATGCATATTTAAAAGATGGGGACAAATTCAAAGAGATGAATTCAATGAAATAAATTCTTTGGAAAATTTCTGCTACTTCAAAGTTTAAGCAGGCCGCCAGTTACTGGCAGTTACTGATCAACAGTTCTGTATACACTAACTATATTTGAATGCAATTTTACAGCTTCGGAGGATAATATCGCCTAGAAAGAGTTTGCTAACCGAAGTCAGTAGTGAGCATCGCTGATAAGAATGCATATAAGTAGTATATGTTGAGAAGTCGGACGAAGTCAGAGGCAATTACGAACGCTGGATAAATATTTTGCCCAGAATAGCGTAAACGATAACGTAGCCGTATTAGTAGCAAGACGAGATAGAAGATCAACTTAAACATATGTTGTAAATTGATATTTAATTGAAAGATCATAATATTTTATCGAAAATGCAAAAATTGTCATTGTACGCAATCCTTCTTCAAAAACCACATTTTCCTCCAGTAGTATTTCCCTACATAGAAACTGCATTCATAGTTCGGAAAAACTGACCAACATTTCTCTTGCTGTCGTAAATCTAAATTTCCAAGGTTTCATTTTCTGTTTTTTTCTGGTTAGTTTATCTAAATTCAGTGTGATTATTTTGTTTTTTATGTTCTGAGCAATGAAATGCTTATTCTTCTTCTTGTTATCCACTTGGTAGCTATCAGGAGAATCCAAGACGAGAGTTTTATACTGTATGGGACCCATCAGCTTGATGTACTTGTATTCCAGTCAGGGGGTCTCGATCCCACAAAGACTAACCCAGCGCCAGTCGCTTCAAATGATAAGAAGTTATCCAATAAGCCCCTAGAGCACGAGAGACGCAACTTATGAAACGAGTTTCAGTCGGTACTTATTGATGCTTGTAACTTCCTGTCTCTACTCTTGGTCAAATTTTTGAAGCTTGTTTTTAGTTTACCCTATAACTTGTGGAGTTTAAGGTACTTCAAATCAGTTCCCTTAAAACCAATAAGGAATGAAAAAATCCCCAAAAGCCTGGGAGCTTTTAGAACTAGCTTGTTCTGCTTTGTTTTACCAATTTCGAAGTTTTCTTTAAAATAGCGGGGTTCAAACTGTAGATTGGACAAGAGCAATTACCATCCACTCTAACTACTTTTTCACCACTTTAGCATACAACATTTTGAGAAGACTACTCATGGCAATTCTTATGGATTTTTTAACATTGTATCTAGACTTTAGTTCCCAGGTAAAACGTAAAGCTGTGTTCACCAGATTTAAACAACTTTTATTTCTTGTGGCGAAATTCTCTTAATAAATTTAGATCAAATTTTGTTTTTTATCCACTGCTGTGTTTTTTACTTGTACGTGTTGTAACTGTTTGATATTTAAACAAATCGTGCTTTTGTCAGTCACATGCTATGTTGTTTCCGTGTTCTGATGAAGTCACTTAGTAATTAGATAAATGGGTAAGTTTCCACAAATTACTGAAATATTTATAGGCACGTAATAATTAGCAGTAATTGCTACCATACAACCAGAAAC